ACCGGAACAGAGCAAGACAACTTGTTTACAGACAGAGCAGAGCTCCTCGCTGCAGGGCAGGAGGAAGGGGAGGCCGCTGACTCCGGGCCCAGAGCGGCGGTTCAGAGATGGCCTGCATTGTTCTAAACCAGCACAACACGGCACTTCCGCAGCCCTTTTCCTATGGGAATCCTGACAGGTTGTTGTCTTCCCCCTGCATGAGGGGGAGGCAGCAGGAGAGTGAAAACTCCTCCATTGGCCACCAGCACTAAAGGGGAGGAGGGAAGCTGGGGCTGCCAGAACTTTTCAGGTCCACTTGAAGACACCAGTCAGTAAAGCAGGTCCACAGCCCACCCAACACCTTCCCAGAGCAGTGTCTGGCAGCTCCAGGAGCTCGGTGGGGCACTGAGGCAGAGGAGAGTGTGGTACCTGCAGCAAAGTGTGTGGCACCTCCTGGGGACACAAAGGCAGCTCCTGCACAACAGTCTAGCAACAGAAGCAAAAGGGGACATTGCTAGAAAGCAATTGTGGCTGTGAGTGAGACCCGAGATAAGAATTTCCTTTCTCTTACAGAAACCAGCTCAGAATCTGCTGAGTTGGGAGACATGGGGAAGACATGACTTGTCCTGGCTGGAGGCCTCTCTTCCCTCAGCTGCAGAGGGAGCCTGGACAAGTGTTGCACATCTAGGCTGCCCCCAGACGGAGCTGCACTCCCTCCCGCCCCAGCAAATCCCCCCAGAAGATAAACCTGGCTCAACATTCCCCATCCACTGAGTCACGCAGGGCTGAGCCCAGCCACCCAAGGACAGGAGCCCTGGCTCAGCAAAGCCAGGGCTGTGCCTCAGGGATCCAGCCTCTGAACCCCTGGAGGTGGACGGGGATTCATGACACATGATGCTGGCATGGTGGCAGGAGCTACAGTCGCGTATTTTAGCCAGCAAATGCAGACACTGGTGTTTAGAGAGAGGAGTCAATGGGACCAAAGGGTGTCAGTGCTTTTTCCAGCATAGATTATTTGGCTTTGAGCACTAGTATAAGTTACACTCATAAAAGGTCTCTTCTATGTATCTACAATGGGACTGTTTGCTGGTATTGCCAGATCATGTATCAGTAAATTTTAAGGGCAGACAAGGCTATTGGTGAAGAGCGAAAGGCAGCACAGCAGCTGCCGGGGTGCAGGGGAGAGAGCTCTGTGTGACAGATTGGTGCCATCACCTCCGTGAGCTTCCAAAACAGCCCCAAAACCACAGAAACACAAAACCTGCTGCCAGTGCTGGACCTGGGGGGACAGCTCCATGAGCCTGCTAGGAGGGAGCATCCTCCGGGAGAGCTGAGACCAGCCCACAGGCCTCCACCACCTCCAGCCCACCCCCTGCTCTGCCCTGATTGCAGGGAACGTGACATCCATCCCTTCCCGTAGTTGCCTCCGGCTCTACTCACTGCCATGGGACACACTGGGCTGTCCCTGGCTTGGCTCTGCTCCTGGCTGCAGGGCTGCCTCTGCAGGACATCCTGAGCCCACCATCCGCAGGGGACCCACGAGCCAGAGCAGCATCTGAGCCACCTTGCAGCTTAAAAACCTCTTTCTGTAGGACAAGGGGGCCCATGCGGCAAGGGTGGGCTTCTGATCCCCACACAATGAACCCTCCTCTTCCTATCCAAGCATGACACAAAATAATGGGTCCCGAGACCTCAGATGTCCTAGGGCCAGCTGTGTCTTCTCTGCAGGGTTGTGGAGGGCGTCTCTGGCTGAAGTTGCTTCCCTTCGGGAGCCTTACAGGGCATGGGGGCTGATGTAGACAGCAGGCTGAGGACTGATTTAAAAACACGAGGCAGCAGCAGTCAGGCTCTGAAGGCAGGCAAGCTGCTCAGTCACCATCTAGATACATCCGCTCACAGGGAATTCAGGTTTTCCAAGTGACAGCTCCAATCATGGTAATTCTAAAAGATTGCAAGGGGTGGAGAAGAAACAGCTCTGTTTTTCTTCTATTTTTATGAGCATATGATAGGACTTTGATACAAAATTATGTGTTTTGCTGTATCCCTTGGTATTTACGGCCAGGCTCCAAGCCACCCGAGGGCAGTGGAAATCCTGCCACTAACCTCAGAGTTGCTGGCCCAGACCCATCACCAGGAACTTTCTTTCTTGATTTGTGTCCATTTTGCATGCAGCAAAAATGGAGAAAAAGAGCACTCTCATATGGCAAAGCAGATGAAAATCCATCTGCAAAGCCAAGGGAAGTATCAGAGGGTGCTATTGCATTTGAAAACTTTGTAGGTTTAAAATCTACAGCGTCATTTAGACTCATACTATTCTGCAGCTCTTGAAATGTCCACCCACTTTGGTTGTTTGTAAGAAGAGCTAATATCTCCAGGCAATTGGGCTGGGATTATTATAATTGCTGTTCATGTGTGTGGAGTGACTGACGCAGATGTTTTTACAATGGATGCTTTATAAAGTGACAAAATACTTTCAAACTAAGTAGGCACCATCATTCCCGTGAAGGACAGCTTCCAAAATACCCACCATCAATCTTCCTCCTCCTGTCTGCTGTGCGCCCTGCCCCTCCCAAGTGAAAACGCTGCTTCTCACAGGCAAGGCCACAATAGGTTTTGAAAATCCAAAACCAGGCCCAGCACAGGGCGCTGAACTAACGAACTCCAGTCCCACCCTGCTCACTCACCAGCCGTGCCCTTCAGTGCCACAGCGACCACAGCGCCCGGCAGGTCCGGGGCCGAGCCCCGCCGGGCCCACGCCCGGAGCTTCTCCTCCTGATCTCTGCC